TCACATGGATTACTGATTGTATCAGAGGCTTTTGTCAAATGACACGTCAAATATTTTATCTTACTCTTCACAGATAGGTAAAAGACAAAAGGATGGAAAAGATATCCTGTGCGAACAGTGGGCAGGAAAGCAGATGGGACTATATTAACACCAGACAAAGAAGACTTCAAGACAAGCAGTTATACCAGAGATAAAGAGGGACCTTTTAGCATGATAAAAGTAAGGATTCATCAAGATATAACAATCCTAAATATGCATGCATCTAATAACAGAAATTCAATTGCATGAAACAAAATTGATAGAACTAAGAACAAAATAGGAAAACCCACGAATATAGGTTTATATTTTAACATAACTTCCTCAATAATTACCAGAACAAGCAGAGAAAAAATCAGTACAGAATTTGAAAATATGAATACAACTATCAACCAGCTTTATATTCACAGAACGCCATACCAAACAACTGCTGCATTCATGTACTTTTCAAATGCACAAGGAGCCACTCACTAGGATAGATCATATGCTGGGCCATAAAAAAAAGTCTGAAATATTTCAAAAACAAAATACAGAATATATTCTCTAACTATGAAGGGATTAAAGTCAATAGCTAAAATGTATTTAGAAAAGTTCCAAATATTGATAAATTAAGCAACATACTTCTATATAACATATGGCTCAAAAAATTACATGGGTAATTTAAAAGTATTTCAAAATAGTCAGTATTGAAAACACAACATATTAAAATATATGGAATTCAGCTAAAGCAGTGCTAGAGGAAAATTTATAACTTTAAATGCTTAGATTAATAAAGAAGAAAGATTTAAAATCAATGATATATCATTCCATCACATAAAGCAGAAATAAACAGAAAATTAAATACAAAGTGAGTAGAAGGAAGGAAATAAGAGATAAGAGCAGAGTAGAGAAAATCGTGAAACAATGGTAGCCGATCACTGCCAGTTCTTCTCTTTGTGGAATTTGTGCTTCCTGTTCACCTCAACTTTAGCACTATCGGACCACCTTTATCTTGAAGAGAAGACACCAGAGAATATTTCCACTGAAGTTGAAGCTGTTACTACTACTGAAGTATAGCACTCCCATTTTAGCACTCCCATTTTCTACCTTTACAATTTCTACTTTGAAGATAAGCAAGGGCAACAAAATTTGGTAGAAACAATGACCTCTTCCCCTTCCCTGGCTCTTTGGAAACTTTGTAAAACATTTCAGGGAATAGTTAACCAAGAAGGTTGATTAACGCTTATCTTAGTTTCTGTATACCACTTTGCTAGTCCCCAACTGGCCCTCCCTTAGCCAAACAGAATGTAGTTTTTGCCTTTATATTCTCCCTGTGAAGACTGTTCAGGGCTGCGAGTTTTGTTTTGGGCAGGAGCCCGCTCGCAGTCGCTGGCTAATAAATCTCCAAACAATCAATTTGGTCTCTGTGTGAATTAGTCTCACGAAAGTTGGGTACAACACTACCTGGTTCTTTGAGCTCCTCGTATCAAAGGATCAACCAACAGAGAAAAGTTGCAACATTGGTAGGAGTTATTGCCACTGGTTGACCCCTTCCACCACTAACAGTTGACCCCTTCCACCACTCAGATACTCTCATGTTCTCCTTTACTGCTAAGTTGCATCTATCTCAAAGTTATATGCCATGGGATTTAGGGTTACTGTTACACAATGGAGTGAACAAGGAACATATCCAGAAACCTGGGGGTTCCCTGAAGCGTCTCTTGGTGCTTCCAAGCCTATTGACAGTGCTGAGCATGCAGCTACAGGAAACACAGCCTGACAAGGTCAAAGCAGATCTCTCAAGTGAAGCCTAGGTTGCCCTATGAGGAAAGAAATCCAGGTCAGTCAAAGTGTTGCTTGGAGATGAGGGGACTCATGACTGGGTGCTGGAGGAGAGGGATGATGAATATTAAATGCCAGCAGGGTTTGGAGCGTGTCCCACTAACTATTTTGTATTGAGTCTTCGTGGCATTTTGGCTGGCTACCACCGTGAAGGAACTTTGAGATGGATGTGACTTAGCAGTAAAGGAGACCGTGAGAGTACCTGAGTGGTGGAAGGGGTGAACTGTTAATGGACATCACTCTTGTGCTCTTTTATATTCTCTCAGCCCCCTCTCTAACCATAGCGACACTTTCAGGGACCATTTCCAAGAAGGCACTGATTTGTTTTGCATAGAGCCTTGCTCCAGGCCCACACCACACTCCTCCTTCTCCTGCCCTGGGCCTCTCTGATGTGATGGCTTGGCATGGCCATGAGAACTCCCTGGGCACTCCAGCATGAATAACCTGAGAGTGTGGGGTAATGCCTGTGGGGCCAGCTTTGAACAATGGGGACAGGAGCCCCTTCAGAAAGTCCTATGCAATGGATCCCCCAGAGCGGTGGTCAGTTTAAAAAGAACACCACATTGTTTTATTGACTTTTCATCCTGTTTTGCTTCACTTGATCTGCCCTGTAGTCCTGCTCCCTGGGATCACCTCCCAAATGAATTGCCTTCCCTCAAGCCTTTGTCTTAGCCTCTGCTTGGGGAAAACCCAGTCTAAGATACTGATCTTTATAACAGAGAATGAATTTCCTCTGGCCACCCAGAGCTACATTCATCCTTAACTTCCTTTAGAAACCATTCAATGCAACTAGAAGTTAGTGTGCTTGGATGAGGCAATACAGCTTCGGAGAATTGAGGCTGGCAGGTTTCCAGAAGATTTTCTTCCTTGTTGACTTCATTGCTAATAGCTCCATTTTTGCCCCAAGTTCTTACTCTTTTAGGGCTTTGAAATAACACACCCAATTTCTTTGAAACAAACAAGGAAAGCAAAAATCTAGCTAACCTTTCCACATTAACCCCGCTGGTAAATTTCCAGAGTTTAGTAAATAATCCGTGTATGAAAGAATTTCCCCTTACCCTTTAGTTGTTGTCATTTATTTTCTTTGCTATTTACAGAGTCGTGAAACCTTGTTGTCTTTCCTTTAAATGCAAAAGACTATTTTCTTTGGCACAGCCCAGAGTACAGCAACGGTTAAATTTGCTGCCTTGTGAAAGAGTCGAATTTGTTTAGAAGTTATGCAAAAGGCCGTGAGAGCAAGCGACCTGCATTATAGGAAGTAGCCTCAGGAAGCTCAGAGTATTTTATTTCCTGTCCTTTTTGCCAGAATGCTGGTTTTTCCTGGGCCAATAATAATTTGAAATAAGGTCAAGATTTATTCTAGTTGGAATATGATAGGATATCAGGCACACTGCTGTCTTACAAGCAATTTCTTACCCTTACAAAATCAAGAGGAGAAACATTGAGGGGAAAATGACATATTTAGCTCAGGGTTCTACATGACAAATGGCTTTTGACAATCTGCTCAGGTCAATCTTGGGAGAGTAGTCTCCTTAACAAAGAAAAAAGATTAACTACATACATACACATCCATCACACTTGAAGAGAGGTTTAGACAGTGTGAAAAAAAAAACTTCAAAAGAATACAGTAACTGCTCCCAACTGACTTATAAAGAGAAAAGAAATTAGAAAACTAAAAATCAGGAGACTCAAGAGTGAATGTGAGGACTGATACAGAGATGTTGTAAACAAAAGGTACCTCTCAACATTCAGTGATGAGTGACACTGTGCTTTTGAAGTGCCAAAGGCTAGAAATCCAGAGTTCTCAAGCTGGAAGGATCAAAGGATTATGTACATTGACTGAGGGTTGGAGGCTGGTGTTCAGAAAGGGGGGAGGGGTAGAGTTTGCCCCAGTTTTAGCTCTCTTCACTATCAAGATAAGGAACTTTCCCAAGAACCATAAATAATGTGTAAGAACATGTCTAAACCCTGAAGTACATTTTGGTGTTTTTCTCATCTATTTGAATCTTATGAGAATTCAGAAAAACAACTGGGCAGTCAGAAGTGTTTACAATGGAATTTAAAATGGTGCTACTAACTAACTTGAAGAATTCTCTTATTGAGTTTTACTTCAAGAATGAACTTTTATTCTGATTCTATCAGCAAGGGTTCCTGCCGTCTAGATTTTTTTTCCTTATGGGACATTTCTCTTTATTTACTTCCAGGACAGTACCTGGATTCTGCCACCTCATTAGTCCATCCCAATGGTCCTGTTCCATATATTATCTTCAAGATAGTTTATTTTATTTTTCTGCTTGAGGATACATGTAAACGCATATTTTACTTTCACTCAGATTGGTGTTCTATTGTTTCTCAGTCTTAAATATTTCTTTTAATAACTTATGTAATTTTTACTTACTTTATTCTAACCCATGAGAAGGGGTCATTATTATGACCTTCACCTAAAGATATTTAAGTTTAATAGAAAGTGACCTTAAAAAAGACTGTTTTATCTACTGAAGACCAGAATTTAGAAGGCAAAAGAAGGTAAAATTTCCCAGGTTTAATTTTTCCATAAGATTATAGAGGATGAAAACTGATGACAAAGTTACCATTGGTGTCAGCAAGGACCCTTTAGGAAATATATGTTAGATTTTAGAGACCCACACTATAACAATCTTCCTTGTTTCACCATATGATAACCCTCTGGAAATGAAAACTGAAAGATGAAATCATTATTTTTGAAAGTACAGTTGGTTAATTAAGTCAAACAGCCATTTAATGCAACAACAAATTCATCTGAACTATTTTCCAATGTTTTAAAAAATACCTGTCTGTTTAACTGAATTTTTCATTTTTCAGATCGAAGTATAGGTGTCATTTACAGAGACAAAGCAGAATCAACTGATGACCTCTTTTTTACAATTATAAGGGTTTCATTCACTCCAATTCAGTTCACTAAAAGAAGGTCAATATTTTCTGTGTCTCAACTTATGTTTCTTCTGCCTACAACTTACTTTCTTGGATTTCACAGAATCTTTAGTCTTTTATGTTGTTATCTATATTCTTTTCCTCTCCCCACCTATTCTTCCATTTTATTGCTTTTTATCTACTTTACATTTTCAGTGTTTAGAAAAACATAATGGAAAACCCACAAAGCTTACCATTTCCACCAAGGACAAATATAAGAACATCCCAGCAGTAACTGTCAAGATCCAATTTTGAACACAAGGATCAGTTGATACTGAGAGCCCAATGTACAGTCCTATGAAGGCAGTTAGAGCACTTATAAAATTCATCAGGATGGCAATTTTAATAGGAAGTCCAGAGCTTAGGAGCACAGCAAAATCCCCTGAAATTTAAGAAAAAAAGAAAATACAATTATTGATTAACTGATGACGGCTTTGGTAGAGTAATGTGTTATAAGGTTGTTTCAAATGTCAGCAACCAGGATCAACTTTATAAGTTAAGCTGAATGATCAGTTAAGAAACCATTTTCCTATATTTCTCTAAGATTCATAGCTAACTCATTATGCAATTAGGAAATTACATTTCAAGAGTTCTTTTCCTTTTACTGTTCCTGAGGATAGTAGAGAGAGAACTGTGACATAGTCTTTAGTTTCTAACATCCTGTCATCCTGTGGAATTTTCAGCTTAGATAAATGCAAAAGAAAGCAAAAGAAAGGAACTCTTGCCTTTTGAGACAGCATGGATGGACCTGGAGAGTATTATGCTAAGTGAAATAAGCCAGTCAGGAAAGACAAGTACCATATGATCTCACTTATATGTGGAATCTAATGAACAAAATAAACTGACAAACAAAATAGAATCAGTTGTGCATATATGGTACAGTCTGACAGATGTCAGAGGGGAGGTGGGTGGAGTGGACAGGATGAAAGAAACTGAAGAGAATACCCAAAGAACATATATGCAATAAATAATAAATAAATAAATAAATAAATAAATAAATAAATAAATAATAAATAAAGCACTTGCTGGCTGAGGTTTTCTAAATCTTTTTGCCTGGAAACTTGCCAAGCAAAATCACAAGGTAGTAAACATTATGTGGGCTTTTATTATTTACTTATGTAGGAACTGCTTTGGGAAAAGAGAAAACCACTTAATATGAGATTTTAAAATCACTGCCGAAGTTGATTAGGAAAACAAATTTTTTCCTTTAGAAAATGTTTTAAGGCCTTAATGATTTGAAAGACTTCACATCTCTCCTTCCCTCTAAGAGAAGAATGACCTATTCATCTGAGAGGTTCTATTTCTTGGTTTTGGGGATTAAGACAAGGCTGAAATTCAATCAAGACAGCCTGGGGACTGAGTTTCCTAGTTCCACTATATAATTGGTCCTATGAACAGGTCTTAGAACATTTTTGCTCGCCTGCCACAGACTGTCACACTCTCCTGTGGTTTTGTTATAGCAGCTTAAAGCAGGACCATAGGATAGGACACCCAGACCAAGCATGTTTCAATGATTCAGGAAGGACCTTGGATAAACTGCTTCAGGAGAGATGGGTCAATGAGGAATGGGCAACAGGACTTCTAACACTAAACACAAGAGGACAGGATTGCAATGCGGGTCTGAAAATGGGAACAGAAAGAGTGACAGCCCGGGGTCCTCTCTCTGGGGTACATGTGCGCCTGGAGCCAGCCTCTGCTGTTTCTGGGTGTGTTTCATTAACATATATTCTATCTCACTTGGTTCCTGGGCAGCAGGATTTGAATTACAGGGCTATTAACATTATCCAGAAAAAGAGTCTTACGTGTATCTGTTACCATATGCTTGTCATACCAATTTTGCAGTTGGCTTTAGATGTCTTGTATAAATCTGGTTGATGAAACCATGATTTGCCTTTCATTAAATGTTATTTTGTCTCATTGGCCTGGTTGCTGACATACTGGTTAAAGTGCCCCTCTTAATGTTTTTTCCCACATTTACTATGCAGATTTTAAAATTCTTGCCAAAGTTCCTTAAAAGGAAGTTTCTGGGAATGACTTTCTCCCATATAGAATTCTCCAGAATCCAGAGTCACTTCTGGCCCTGGGAAATGTAGAGTCCAGTTGAATTCTATCCCAAAGTACAGGATTTTTTTGTTCTTTTCTGGTTTAAAAAAAAAATAAATTATGAAAGAAAAGTATTCATCTTTTCATCATATTTTGGAAGTGAAGCCTAGGAAACTATCGCTAGAAATATGATTTTCTCAGCAGGAAACAGAGAATCTACTGTTAAACTCACCCATTTCATGTGGGATTTCATGACACAAGATAGCAATTGTTGTGGTTACTCCAGACTCAGATGAAGACGAGAAGGCTGCTCCTATCACGAGGCCATCTGCAAAATTATGCAGGCAGTCCCCTACCAGTATCATTATTGCTAACGAGCTAATGGATTTGCCTAAAAAAAAATTAAATGAAGGTGTGAAAGCGTTAAAAGATCACTCCATCGTTCATGGAATCCGTCAAACACAACCAACTTTCCCATCCACCTCTGACATTCTTAAATTGCATCAGATTAAGTAACCCCACTTTGTTTCAGTTTTCAAGATAAGTGAGGACTGCAGATGTAAATATGGTGCTTGGATATGTGGTCACTTTCCTAAATGGGTCTCACTAATAATGAGATAAACTGTGCACTGGCATTCACTATTCTATCACCTTGTCCAGCTGTGCCCCCCCCCCCCGCCAAAAGAAAAGAAAAATAATATTGTTATACTCTCCCAAAATATCAGCCATGACCTTTCCATGTGTGTCTTTTGTAAAGCATTTTAAGATAATTTAAGAACCTCCCTGAAGAATGTCATTAAAATGGAGTCTGTTTTCCAAAACTGGCCCCTCTGAGTCAGACTATCCCTAGGGTCAACCTGCAGGATACACTTTCTGCTATTGTGTGATCACTGTGTTTCCCTGTCTGGTTGTTGTGAATCACCCTGACAAAGTGCCTCATTCACTTGCCATTTGTGACCACAACAGACTCTGCCGATCCCAAAGTCAGCTCTGAAACAATTACTTAATATTCTTATCTTTCTAAAAATAACTCTCAGTACTAGACCAGCTGGACCTTGAACAAAATAAAGAGAAGCTGTTTTCACGGGAGTCTATTACATAATATACACAATCTGATTGGTGAAGAGTCAGTGAACTGCTTTAGATAATAATGGATTTAATTAATGAAATAATTTAGACCATAACTGGGTTCAAGTTTTTACCACATGGAATTTCTGTTTCCAAAAACCTAAGAACATATGTTAGTATAAGCAATTATGGAGTTGAATGGCTACACAAAACGTATTTCAGAAATAATACTTACCCTGACAGTAAGTGACCTAGGTATACCATTTGATGAGAAAAGCCATTACAATCAATTGCCATAGCCTAAAACATCAATAATTACTCTGTTGCTCTCTACTGGGTGACAGGTATAAGCAATAGCTGTTGTTGCTGTTGGAATTGAACACATCTAATAATTGAACACTCGATAAAACTAGGAAGAGGTTGCCTCCTGGTTTCTGTTTTGTGCACTAAGACTACAGGGGGACTGTATTATGATATGGTTTGCTATTTTATTTGGGGAAATAGAAATTTGACTCATTTCATGTGCCACACCATGAAATAAGTAACTTAAGTCAAGTGAATAGAAGATACAGCCCAGACTATCAGCCAGGAGATAGGTGTTTTGACTGTGTTGCAAAGGTTTTCCATGCATTTTTCTCCTAACAATCATTTTTTATTTAGACCTATCACTGTGAGACTGACTTATATCCTTCTTGTAGTTTACTAATTCATTTTATTTTTTATTAAAAATGAGAAGATTCCAAACAATAGTCATAAAAACACAGACTACATCTCAAATTATTAAATTCAGGGAGGTCTTGTTGGCTTTGCCTGGAAGCTCTCAGAAGCTAATAATGCTACCAGGTCCTCAGCTGTTCCTGCTCCTTTTCAGAAATAAAGCTCTTCTTTGTGAAAATATAATAAAATGAAATAATTTTAAGTAATACCTTGGACAAATTTTCAGCATGTAAATAAGTTGTAATTTCCACATGCCTACATACAGTATTGATACTAATACCATATATTCAAGTGGAAAATTTTTACCCAGTTTATATTCTGCTAAGAAACAGTGCGGCCTATTTTTGTTTTCTGTAATTTCATTATCTCTCATTATGGGTTTCTAAATGGCAAATCATGGACATGTAACAAGCCACAAGGCAAATACACACTTTTGCATGTAAGCCACAAGGAACACGTTGTGCATATTGTTTAAGATAATTTAAACATTACTCAGCAGAAGGTATAAGAAGCATTCACTGGTAATTTAATGTACTCATTACAGAATTATCATTAATATTTACCTTTTTTATGTACCTGGCAGTCATATTGAGTTCCACATTTCTGACTTACCAGAGATTTTCCATGGTGGAACATGGGCTGGACCTTATATCATTTTGCTTTTTGTTTATTTAAATCAGACTGTGGATAGGATTTTCACATCCTGTCTTTTGGAACACAAGCTGGACTCCACCAATGAGGTAATATGAAACAAGTAATCAAATATTTGAAGCTAATAGCTTGTGCCCTGGCACAAGGGCAGTTGAGTAATCGAATTTGAGTTTGTTCATTACTCATTCTGTATGCCAAGCTTGATATCTGAAGTGGCAAGATATGAGGCCTACAAAATATTTGAATAAGACCATCATTATTCCCTGATCTAGTATCTGCTCCTTGCTCCTAATTTGACTGAGCAGATCCTTCGTGCCTCTTGCTTCCTTTCAAAAACAAAAACTAGCAAATGTCTATTGTAGGCCTACTAAGTACCAGGCATTCTAAAATATCTCCTGGAACTGAAGATTTAGAAGAAAAAAATTATACTAACAATGTCCTGAAAGCAGAATTGGACACACTGTGTAATTATATATTTTGAATCAGATAAATAAGGTCCAGGAATTAATAATCTAACACATTTAGAATGTAATGAGTACAATCATGTTTGTTTTTATTAGTATATACATGCCCAACCACATTGTAAACTAGAGATAAAGACCGTTCTTATCTTTATTCTCTCATGAATCAGTGCCTGAAACATGGCATGTCTTCAAACAGTTCTTGAATGAATGAATGAAAATATGAGAAAACACATGGATGCATTAACGAATGATCACAAAGAAATTGTTGGTGCATTAGCATTTCCTTAGTGCCTCAATGCCGGAGCTTATGAGCTATGTAATCTTGGGCAGTGACTTATTCTCTCTAACAATTGGTTTCTTCACTTGTATAATTTGGATAATAATTATTCTTATTTTATTAAACTGTAGGAGGATTAAATGAGATAACCCTTGTCTAGTTTTTAGCACTGTGCTTGGCATATAATAACTGCTCAACGAATGGTAACTATTTCTATTATTGGGTAGCTAACTTATTATGATAGAATGGGAATCACTAACCACAGCTGCTTAAGATTAAAACACTGAGAAGTGTGCCACAAAAGGGTAATATAAATAAGAAAAATGGGGCAAAGATTCAGGAGCAACTGATAAAAACCAAAACAGACCCCCAAAATTCTGAAAATTATTCACAAACATAAGCAAAAAGAAATAAATTCCTATCCAAAGTTGGTAAATTAAATTCAGAAATAGAGAAAGTCACAGAAAGAAGAAGGTGGGTTGAAAATTAGGGAGTTATAGAGTAAGATGTGAGGGATGAGGTGTCGCTGATACAAACTCCACCTTAAATGACAGCATCACAAATGAGATGGACATCTGTGATCAGTTTTTAGTAGACAGTGATAGAAGGCAAAACAAACAACAAACTGATGTTTTCAAACTTCACAGAATTGAAAGACTCGATCATCGTGTACACATGGTTTTAAAGGAGCTCTGATAACCGCATGTGTATTTACACTAATTGAAGTTTTTAGAAGATTAATTTTAAGCAGTTAGAGAAAACAGCATTTTTAAAGAATGGAGTAAAGTTGATATTAATGTGTAGTATGTTTGAAAGCAGATAGGAATAAGTGTTTATTAAAAATTCTATTGCAAAGACTTTAATAATAAAATACGTAACCAATATGAAATGTATAACATTTATTTAAAGCAGACATAATGTTTTTCTATGGCACTTTCTATATTTAATGTTTAATTTTTTAAAATTAGTACTCCCATTTTCTTTTTCTTTTTTGCATATGTCAGTAGTTTGTGTATTGCTGGGTAGGACCCTTTTTTAAATTTATTTTTCCCCATTACCATTTAGCCCCCCAATACCCTCTTCCACCTCCCCTAGCCCCCAGTCACCACACTGTTGTCTGGGGCCATGAGTTCTTTCTCTTTTATTTTCTTTGAGTACTCACGTTTTTTGTTGGAGGCTGTCATACTGCCTATAGGAATTTCAGCTGCCTGGGAATCTTCTGGGCCTTTCTATTTTAAATGAAAAAAAAAGAAATGATAAAAGATAAGCAATGGTCATCATTTTATTGAAAAATGAAACATCTGAAGAGTTATGTTGATTTTTAAAAGATATTNTTAAATGAAAAAAAAAGAAATGATAAAAGATAAGCAATGGTCATCATTTTATGGAAAAATGAAACATCTGAAGAGTTATGTTTTTAAAAGATATTTTAATACTCTAGAATTAAATGTATGTTAGAATGTCTGAATTTCATTGACAAACATAGAAGGTATGGATGAGAGTCTGTGAGCAAGCTTTTGGCACTACCTGCATTTAGATGAAAATAGCACTCACATAGATCAGAGTCTTCCATGGAGTGCTAGAAGCTACGAAGACAGTCTGTAATTCAGACTCCTAAATTATGTAAGCCTTTATGAAACCCAAAAATTGTAGGAAAAAAAAAAGATTCTTGATGCTTGACCTAATTAGCTCTTCTGATTGTAGATCTAGAATTCAACTTCTGATCTTTAAGCAGATCGTGTTTTGTGGATGGAGAACTAACCCATGCCAACACACACCTCATTGCACTCATTGTGGCATAATATTCTGACTTTCTTGCTTTACTGGTCAGTAAAAGAATCTTGCTAATTAAGAAGGAAGATTCACAGAATCAGAAAAGACAAATATAATCAAATTTTAAAGTTTTCTCATCCTTTCAAATGACTAGGAAGTGAGATTTTGAAATTGACATCTATAAAATCAGTTAAAATTACATGATTTTATTTCAGAGATGGACTCATGGTTCAACTTCTGGAAAGTCACTTCCCCTCTCTATGCCTCAGATTCTTATTTTATTATGTGAAAAGAATACTTTTATCTGCCTTTTAAACATGTTATTTTAAAAGCACATTTATATAATTTTATCATCCAAAGTTATGGAGACTTTGAGACAAATTTAATGTGAAACATAAACATTTTTTAAAATGTAAAACAGAAAGTAAACTCAAAGTTCACATGTTAAATAATAGCAAGTATTTAAAAAATGTAATGATAGGCAATATTTTGGAAAAGGATGCTGAGAGAAGACCTGAAGGACACAGGGTTAAAAGAGGTAGATATTCTAGGATTTTTTTCTCCAAAAAGCTATATAATGTCATACTCTGTAAAGGAATTTAGAAGAAAATATCCATAATTCCTTGTTGATTGGAAAGAATTATGAGTTCCCCTCCTGCCTGAAAAATTGAACCGAATGGTTCTTAAAGTTAATATTATTTCCATTTGCTTAGGCTTGATATTGCAGCTTAAATAAAAGGAATGTGAATATATTATTAATGAGCCAGCATATTCAAATACAACCAAAGTCATTAAGTTAGCATCAGAAATTCTCTTATACACATCTTGGGGTTCTGGACCCTTCAATCAAACAGAAGGAATGGAGTCAGCATCAGGGTGATTTTAAAACTAATCTCAGCCTGAAGTTATCTTTTTTCCTACCACATGTGAAATATCTAAGCAATAAACACAATAAGGCTTTTAAAATCATTTTTAAAGAACTTTTTTGTTCCTATTTCTGAATTAGATCTAGATCTGCAATCCACTGCCTGACTTCTATTTTGCTGTGTTAATGTCTCAGAAATAGCTTACTTATCTCTATCAGTTAGGAATCTAGCCTTGAACTGTAAACCCCTTCCCCGAGGCCATGGTTATAGGAGGCAAGTTTTCTGTCTATTATATATTACTTTCATATTTTGCCTGTCCCTTTACTTGTTACTTTGAGAATTAGAACGGGAATACTGTTCTGAACCTGATTGGAGGTTGTGTTTTGAGAATTCATCTGGACAATTTTGTCAAGGAAAATTCAATGTAACAGAAGGCACTTAAAATGAGACACCTCATTGGGCAGAATCAGTTCTCTCCTGCATTGTGAAATGAGCACCCCACTCCTAGATGCACTAATTCCTTAACACTCATTTGCATCCACCTAGCCATGCATGGCTTAGTTTTCAGAGTGGAAAACTAAATAAAGGTCAACAGGTTTATGAAAACTTGTAAACAAAATGATTAAGCTGTATCTTAAGTCAATCTAATCCATACTTGATTCAAAGTGGTGCAGATAGCAAAGATTTGAATCTACGGGAAATGCTTTTTACAGTTTAAAACAGCTTTCATGTGCTTGGCAAAGTTTTTCAAACTATTTATCATGGTCAAGAATATAGGCAAGTCAAGAGTGGATTCTATGTCTATCCTACTGATTTTTATCTAGAAATCAAGGGATCAAGGAAGGAAGGTAATCAAACCAGTAAAATAGTTCGGATCAGTAACCTACCAACTGGATAGTTGAAGCAGACTTGCCTCTGCCCGACTGGTTGCTTAATTCAGAGTTGAGCGCAAGATGATGGGAATGTCCCACATGCCCTTTAACCAATGCCACTCCCTGCTGTATGAGGATAGTTTAAAATTAGTGCTGAATGGATGGACCTGGAGAAAATTATGCTCAATGAAATGAGCCAGTCAAAGACAAGTGCTATATGATTTCACTCATATGTGGAATTTAATGAACAAACTGAACTGCCGAGCAAAATAGAGACAGACTCATAGAGAGCAGGCAGACAGCTCTGCTTGGTGGGGGAGCCATTGGAATTGATCAAAAAAACAAGAACAGCAGCAAAAAAGAGAACTCATGGACATGGACAATAGTGTGGTGATTGTGGGCGGTGGGGGTGGAGGGTGAGGGGCATGGTGGAGGTGGAAGAGGGCATAGAGGGGATAAATGGTGATAAAAAAATAAAATATAAATATAAATAAGTAAACAAATAAAAATAAAATTCGTGCTGAAGCTGGAAGAATGCAAATGCAGCCTTTGTCAATTCCACGGTTCTGTTTAACATTTTGCTTATTGGTCAAAGTGGTGAGTGGCACACAAAGAGTAATGGGAGAATCTCACTGTGATAAATGCTTGTTAAAGGGCCTTACCTTGGAGAAGCACAGGACTGCTTCATGCATGTTCCGAATGCTTTAAGAATGCAACGTCAAGAATTTTAAAAGACTCAAAAAGTGGTGGCTTTTGTAATGTCATTTTTATTTACTACAAAATCAAATTTTGATTTTTTTCTAATGGAGATAACAAAAGAGTGATAATTGAAATTGTATTATACCCTAAAACTACCAAATAAAAATCTCCAGATTTTAGAAGCACTCGTAGCTTCTAAAACATGTGCATTTCTTTTATTTTATGCAATATCATGAATCTTGAAATTATGTTCTTAAAACTCATTTTAAGTCCCATGACAAATACAAGGATAATCTGAATAAACTCTACAGTTTCAGATGTTCAGAATTTATTTCACTAATTTCCATCCTTGTTAAATTTCTCAATATTACACACAGGTTGATATGTTGGTTTTGTAATTTAGTTTTCCCAGTCTGGAAATGCTAATGTATTGTGTATAAGTGGTCATCTATTATTGTTTTCTCATGCTTATTAAGATTAGAACCCCTTTGAGATTAATGTCCCAAACTTCTATAGTAGGTAATGTGATTGAAGCTTGAATTCTCAATTTTTAATTACATCCTAGCTTGGGCCCTAGGCCAAAAAACAACCTTGCTTCATTAAAACGGAAATTTTTTTACAGGATTCTGTTTAAAATCTAATTATTATAAAAAATCTCAAATATACAGAAAAACCGAAAGAACTGTAATATGAACACTTATGTCCACTTCCTGTTCCTGCCATTGACATTTTGCTATATCTATTTTTATGACACGTCCAGCCATCTAGCAGCTGTCTATCCATCCACAAAACCATCCTTTTTTGATGCATAAAGTATAATTTTTGAGTAAACTTTGGAATGATAATGAAGAATTGCTGATATTTTAAAAGACTACTAAAGTTTGACCTGAGCACAGTCAGGGATAAGACAGAACCATAAAGGACCGCAGAGCATCAAAACTTTGTTAAAAAAAACCTTGCTTTAGTTTAACCTCCTGGAATCTTCCATAAGTGTTTACCTTTTTAACCATCCCACCAAACAGTTCAACACTTTTCTAATAGTATAATGTGCAAGGTGAAAACACAAAATCATAAATTAACTACACTATGTTTTAGGTTTCATCATATATGTAGAAATTGATCAGATACAGGCCCAAATGAAAGCAATGATTCAAGCTAAAAAAAAAAAAAGATTTCTTACAAATACCATTCCTGAGCTGCTTGTTTTTGATACTTTTAAATGTCCTTAAGATAGAAAATAATGGGTAATTTCGCGAATTTTCAAAATTTTTGTTTGTTTGCTTGTTTTTTGGTTAGGAAAGCCATTCAAAACACTGACATGAAATAGACTCTAGTTTCTAAACTTGCCATGAAGGTCAAATAGCACATTGGAACAAGTACATCAACAGGCCAACAAGAGTCGTTTCAAAGATTAATAACAAAACTTACAGGGAAGCTGCCAGTCAGAATGACCTGTGTATTATGGAAATCAGCCTCATCGCTTACACAGACAACCCTTCATCCCTTCATGAAAACGTCAGTTACTTTTAAATAAGTACTTTTGCAATAAAAGATGAATATTATGAAGCCCTAAAGAAAAGGATATATAAAATTTAAATTATACCTTGGCACTTGGTGATACAAGCAGAATAAAACATTTTTCTATCAAGAAAAATCCATGGATGCCTCCAATTAGCCCCAACAGTTTCCAAATGTGTCCTTTGCTTTCATGGAAATGTCCAGACTCTGAGGCTTCCTGCTTATGTAAACCAAGAACCTAAAAAAAATAAAATAAATAAAATAAGAAAGAAACATAAAGAAATAACTTTTGATGATATAGATACTAATTAGTAGGTCTAGATTTGAATATAATCAACTTTCATTCTGGGGCACCCCATGACAACTCCTGAAATCATTCAAAACCCAGTTTGCTTTTAGATGTATAAATACTTCCACTGTAGGATTTAATCATGACCAAATAAAATGCGTACAAGAGAAAAGAAGGGAGAGCTTTGAGTAGTTTCTGCTTATGAATAGAATAAAGCCTAAGCTTATTTCAGTAAGTGGCCTAAATTTTTATACTCTCTCCATCCTTTAGCTGAATTTTTTCCCAGGAGTTTCAGTCTCTGCACAGCAATGCCTTATAGCAAGCCAATGTATTTTATATCCAGAACAAATATAAAGATACATTTCATCTGGGCTTTATTTTCCCCATGCCCCATTGCAATTAAAGAATACTTTTAACAAATGTTCAGAGAAGGAAGAAATCTGCCTCAAAGACATTTTCCATTGAGTGAATACTATATGCCCAGCAATACTGTCAGCAACCTGGGACAGAAAAGTATATAAGAAAAGCATTAGGAGTTTTCCTCTAGTTGACTCATCCCATTGGTTGACTCATCCCACTGGCTGACCTCATAATTTCTTGTGGGCTAGTAATCATTACATATCATATTCTTTCCCCAGAAGGCGGCAATTTAAGAAATGGCTCAGTGGTTCCCACATTTAGGATGTTACTGACCATTAAAAAGAGGAAAAGGAAATTATATCTCTATATATTGTATATATATGTGTTCATATGTATATGTATATAGATATTTATGTGTGCAAACATATATTTACACACAAGATAATGAATGAGTATATACACTGAGTTTATGGACATAACTAAAAACCAACATACGTTAGTCAACTTTTTCTTTTGGTAGAGACATTAAAGGATACCTACCTAATATTTGTAATTACCATTATTTCATAATATAGAGAATATTGTGATATCACAAAACAGGATAAAAACCACAATCTCGGAATAAAATGTAGATCTTTAGGTTGAATAAATACAGCTATTTAAAAAAGGAAATAATGACAGTGGCATTTTTTTGTCATTTCCCTGCAACACTTGTCATAGATCACATTCAGGAACCTCACTGATTTTTCTAGCTTTCCACCATCCTTCTATTGCATCTTCCTCTTTCCAATAACTTCTGTCCTCTCCTCTTTCCTCAAGTAAAACTGACCCCCAAATTTCATGAAATCCAGCTAATCTTTTAAGCTCTCCTCTGTGACTTGTCTTTGCCGAGCTAGTTGACAGTCTCACCCACCCCAAATCCACCGCTGCTGCCTGGAGCTTCGCCATCCCCCATCTGGGAAGACCCAGGAAGCCTTAAGGTCCTTTTGCTGTCTCCCAGGATCCTGGGAGTGAACAGCTCTGCAGCCACTGCGGTGACCTAGAAAAAGGCCTCGGCCACCACCTCAAGCCAATAAGCCCTGAAATATTTCCAGAAAATTAGATTACAGGGGAAATTAAAACTAATAATGGTTTGTTTCATTTCTCCAATGCTCATTTTGCAATTTTCAGAACATCTAATAATTATTGAGCCTCTAAGCAACAACAGTGACCCTGTAGGAAATTGCCAGAGTGTGGAAAATTTTAACATTTCAGACTTTGTGAGAGGGTGGATCATTAGTCCATCATAAGAAATTTCAGAGGAAATAGACACCCTCATCTGAAGATCCTTCTGCCTGAATTCTTTTGCATCTCAGGTCCTGACAAAGAGCCAACTTCCTGGTGTTTACATTTTTCTTAAGGGAAATCTAGACGGTCTTAGTTGGGCAAGATGATTCAAATGAATGGAGGTTAATGAGGGTGCTATTACAGAGGTATAGGCAAAGTCAAGGGTGTGGATATAGAATAATAAGACACCCAGAAACTAGCCGCTCCAGGAAACCATTAGCACTCAGGGCTGAAAGGACAAAGGTTGGAAATAACGTTAATGAAGCTCAGTGGGCGGTGGAGCTGGGGAGGAGGCCTCCGTGGGAGCTCTAGGACTACAGGTTATCAGCTGCTTCTAGAGTGGTGACTTGCTACCTTTTTCATCTCATGGCACAGATAAACTCATTACCTAAATTCTTTGGTACACACAAAAATATATTTTTTGACCATCTGACAAAAAATAGGTATACTTTTGATTTTGATTCACTCACACTAGATGGCTGTTGTTGTGTTGGCTGTCATCACTTTTTAAATTTTTTGTTTTTTGTTTTAAACATATCTTTATAGATTTCAGAGAGAAGGAAGGAGGGGGAGAGAGAGGTAGAAACATCAATGATGAGAGTCATTGATCGGCTGCCTCCTGCACGCCCCCTCCTGGGGATGGAGCCCACAACCCAGGCGTGTGCCCTGACGGGGAATCGAACCCCGATCTCCTGGATCCTAGGTCGATGCTCAACCACTGAGCCATGCCCGGCCGGGCTGTTGTCACTTTTTTATTTAACAATCTAGGGGGAAAGAGGCCAGTGCCCCTGACTAATAGGTATTGCCATGTTTTAAAAATTATTGCAGCACACTGGTTGAAAATCGCTGTTCTAGAGCAAGCACCAGAGCCGGGAGGGGGCAGGAAGAATTATCCCTGCCACTCACGCCTCCTCTCCTCACTTCTCTGTGTGCCTCACGTTGGCTGAACCCAACAACAATCGGGCCAGCAAGAGGAGGTGCAATCTTTCCGGGCCCAAGACAGCAGAGAAGGGCAGAGCATGAAACAGATGAGTTTTGGAGGCACTGGAGAAAAGCCAGTGCAATGTCTTACAGCCCATTCATTTTTATTTATAGGTAATTAGTCAGTGCTTCCTGAATTTTTCTTAGTAGGAATCTACATCTGGTCACCTTTTTTTAAATTTCAAAAATAAGAATAACATGCGGTGAACATACCAATGGATCATCTCTTCTCTCCTACAAGCGCTTTGGAGAAATAATATTCATGTCCAAGGAAAACACTGGCCACTGTATCCGCTCATCCAAGTTGCTGTGAAATTTTGCATCAACACCTCGAACAGCTAAACGTAAAGAGAAACTGGACACGCTCCCTTTGAAATGGAAGGAAGGCGCTTACCTGAGGGATCAGGTGGAGCAGAGCATCGCCAGAGAGCGTGCCAACAGCCAGGCCCACGAAGAGCTGTAAAATGAGCCTGTATTTCTCCTCGCAGCTGTGGAACAGGATCAGCGTTGTGCCGAGCATGGAGCCCAGCGTGAGCAGGGCCACGGCCACGGTGCTGTAGCCGTATTCTAGGAGGGGGAAGCGAAACCGGTCAGGGCTCAGCACCCTCCCTCAGGGCCTCAGCTCGTGCAAATGCCAGAAGAATCTGTCTTACAGGCAGCTGGGAGGGATAGGAAATCGTTTTATGTGTTATGCTGGGTGAAAGGTTTTCATTTTTAAGAATGAAAAGGTTTTCACCAAATAGCCCTGCTACTTTAAAGTTACCCCGATGACCTCTTATTTAAAAATCACTTGGCAAACAAGGACCCAGCTTGCCTCCCACCCCCAAGAAAGGAATCTCTCTCACTTTAAACTACAGCCTCCGTAGCCAGATGGTGGTCATGATTTGCACCTAATCGCATTTAAACCTTTTGAAGGCAAGGCGGCAGTGTTAGGACGGGAGCAACACGGCTTGGGCCCGTGCAGGCCTGTTTGTGTACAAAACCAGTATTTTCTTCCAGGAGTTGTCAAAATTATTTGTAATGTCAAAAGTGTTTATTATTCTCAAGGACTGAAATGAATGACTGTGTTGGTAAAAGCTGATCAATGAATGTGTAACGGCTGATAATAAATTTGGACAAACTACATTTGGGATGATTGCAATAATATTTTATAACCTCTAAATTTATTCCATGTTCCTAGCTTCTAGATTTAAAAAATATATATTCAGAAAGTATGATTTTTAAATTATTCAAAAAACCCCCACAAATATGTATGAGGGGAGAAGAAATAGAGAAGGAAAGGAAAGAGAAAATAACAGAGAGAAAAAAATGGCTTTCAGAGCCAAATAGAAATGATTTGGAGATAAAGTGTTATTCAAGCGACCATTTGCTTTTGGCTGCAGATATTCCAAACAAATACTCTGTTTTCTACTTATTTAGAAATTACTAATAAGTCACGGCAAACTGGTGTGTAAACACTGAAGGAAGGTAATTACAAAATGAAGCTGTCATTTCCTTTAGTGACTACATACAGGTAAATAAGTCAAATCAGTCAATGGAGTTATCATACTACTTAAAGTCCATTGTAGGTTTTAAGAAACTATCATCGTAAAGTTGGCTATCACAGAAAATAGTTTATTCTTATTATTCTGTACTTTTCTGGAACGTTCGCCCTCTACGTTAAATCACATTAATGATTCTAGCTAATAACATGGTATTAGGCTTGTGATTTTAAAATGACCTTTACTGAATTATAAGTTCTAATTATAATTATGACCTTTATTGAATTATAAAGTCTAAATTATATAGGAGTCTAATATTAAAATAGAGTTGGTGGTGAATTCAGAGAAGGCCAAAAAACGGTTAAACTTCAATTTTGTCACTCTCATCACCACCCTTCCTCTGCTAGGAATCCACGATCAAGTGGTTGGTATTCAACAGATACAGAGTTTCAGTTTTGTAAGATGAAAAAGTTCTAGAAATCTGTTGCACAACAATGTGAAATACTTAATACTACTGAACTGTAGATACTGCATTTAAGGATAATTAAGATGATAAATTCTATGTGGTTTTTTTAAAACCACAATTAAAGTTTAAAAAATAATAAAATGCTTTGGAATGGTCATGCACCTGCCTAGAAGTTTTATTCTGTTCTAATTTAGTAAAAATACCTATGTTATACAAAAAACCCTGGAGATATTTAACCAAGTTTCATATCCCCTATTCTTTGACAAATAGATTCTGTGTGAGAATGGCACTCTTCTCATGTAATATATAGACTATTGAAGTTTAATATGAGCACCTGGGTGCCTCATAAAGTTCAAAGTTGCCACATTTTTAGGGTCACTACAAAAGTTCAGAAAATGACAAGAACTCACAAGAACAACTTAGGCTCTGACATTTCCAAGGCAAAAGGCAGTTTCAAGTTCTGTGATCCTTCCCCTCCCCCTTTGCCCTGAGGGCAGCTACAGCATGGTATTAGAGGAGAAGGAACATTTCCTAACTTTAGAGCTTATGGATGGTTTTAGGTCCTCTGTGAGTCAGCCTTCACCTGCTTCCATATGACAAGGACAGCCTGAAAACCATAAAATCTCTGACTTTTGTGGCCATCGGACTCTGCTGACTAACTTACCCCAGTTCCCTTGGCATCTTGATTGGAGTCAGGCGACTTGCAGGTGCTGTGTGTTTCTCATGGTTACAATAGAACTTAACATAACAAGATGGTTTGACTTTGAGTGGTGGGCACACAATGCAATATACAGATCATGTATCATAGAAATGTACATTTGAAACCCATATGATCCTATTAACCAATGTCACCCCAATAAATTTAATAAAAAAAGAGCATAATAATTAAATTCTAAGCCATTCCCAAGCAGGTAGTTTGCATAGTCTGAAACTTGATTTATATGTGGTCATAATGCTTTTTCCTGGAAACTGAATTGGAGGTGATGCTTAGAGATTGAGTTTCACCACACCGAACACTGTTTTCTTGATGCCATCTCCCTGTGTCCTCTCCTCTTCATCTTATGTTTCTGTAATTTCAAAAGGCCAATACAAGCCTCACCCTTTAGTTACATAATGCAACGTTTAAATTGAGGACAGTAATGTTCTTTAGTGAGTGTGATTTGTTTGAATTTTTCTTAGGAAGACTATTCCATAGAAGGGTCTAGAAGGTCATTAGAAAGATAAAAACTATTCCACAAATCTTCAGTTCATAAACCCATTCCCCAGTGGCCTGTGCGCACCAAACACCGCGCCACGTGGTGGGAATATAAATGTGCTCGTGGAAGCTCCTCGGTGCCATGGTCTGTCTGCCTAGTCCATTTTTTGAGTCGTCAGTGACCACGAGGTGCTGAATTATTTAGCTGCTCACTTTTAATAAAGCTCTCTCCCTCTCAGTAAGTGTGGAGTTTTAGCTATTTAGCCTTGGCATGTTTTTGTTCCCCTAAAATCTTCAAATGAGTCTCTTGATGCTGCAGAATCCACTGTGAGTTAGAAGTGAGTAACCGAACAATTCAGCTATTGTAGGCACTGCAGACCATCTCGAAGGAAGAAAAGGTAACTGAAAAAACATGTATAAGGCCTTCAGATCAATGGTAATATTCTAAAGGGTGCATGTCAATTATTTTATCCATCCTGGATGTTCTTAGGCAACCATTGCTTTCTTTTAAATATACAGAGCTTTAAATTGCAAAACACAGTTTTGCATACATTATCCCATTTGAACCTCACAGGTACCCTCTTAAGACTTACAGTAGAGCTCACCTACTGCACTGATCCAGTGGGATGCAGGTGAGTGCACTTTGGGGGTGCCAGTCAAGCCTGAGAGGCTGGTACCTGCCTGCACTGGCCACCACCATTCCAGAGCAGCCTCTTTGGTTTACCCCAGTGTGCCTTTGTTTTTTCACATGTGCCATGATGTGTGAAAGAATGGCAAGCCCTGTAGGATATCACGCTTTCCCACTGTACAGAAGAGATGGGCTCAGGGAAATAAAGAGATTGCTAAAGATCACAGAGTTGGCTGGGGACAGAAGCCATGACTCAGTTCTGTGTTTCTAGTCCAACATTACATGTGTTCCTTCTGTCATACCAGGTCACCTCTCAACTATGCACTTTTAAGTTGTTCTATAACTATGTCTTATAAAGGGGACCAAATCAATTTATATACATTATTTACAAGATATAAATATTCATTGAAACCTAGCACAGCACGGTGGTTAAAAACAATGACTCCTGGGTTTGAATCCAACTCCATCACTTACCAGAGGTGTGTCCTTGGGCAAGTCACTTAACCTCTATGTGCCTCAGTTTCCTCATCTGTATTATAGGGGTAATATCTAGCTCATAGCATTGTTGTGAGGATTAAATAAATTGATAAATGTAAAATGCTAAGAGCAGTGCCTGGTTTATAGTAAGTACCCTGTGTTCACAGTTATTATTCTATCCATTGGGACATTCACTTTCTGAGGGAAAAATCAGATCTTACTCTCCAGGGCAGTAGGAGGCAGGTTTGCTTGTTGGTCCTTGGGCAGCTGGCAAGAGCAGCTGAGCAATTGTTGAATGATTCCTGGACTCATATGCTTAAAATCTTCCTTAGAAATAGGTGAAAGGCTGTTCTGTAGAAATATCTCCACCAGTTGCCCAGCAGAGAAGCAAGTCTGTATAGGAAAAACATACATTGTTACTCACCTCAGCACGTGAACTCACCATCAATTCCCATTCTGGCTAAAATGGACACATGAAGCCATATCATTTAGCATTTACATACCAGCTAGTTGACACAGCATTTGCCAATTGACATCTCTTATCCACAAAAACAACTGAAATCACTGTTTTTGCCTACTGATATTAAATATTTGCAATTTTTATATTGTATAGGCCTATTTATAAGAGGTAAGGATTACAAATAAACAGGTCTCTAAAAATTGCCGCAAGGCATTTGTCCGTCTCAAAAGTGTTAAGGGTTGATTTTGTGTATCAAAAATTATATTAAGCCCAGCCGGGTGTGGCTCAGCAGTTGAGCACAGACCTAGGATTCAGGCAATTGGGGTTCGATTCCCAGTCAGGGCATGTGCCCGGGTTGTGTGCTTGATCAATGACTCTCTCATCATTGATGTTTCTATCTCTCTCTCCCTCTCCTTTCCTCTGTCTGAAATCAATAAAGATATATATATAAAAATTATATTAAAAGTTTTAATATGTGGATGAGAATGGTACATAGAGTTCCACTAGCACAGATGGGTGTCTTCTATTGAAATAAGACCCCAGTACAATGTCTTTGTGATCTTCAGTTATAATCAATAAAGTATTTTCTTTTGATCAGTGATTTAAAAGGCTTGTCTTTTCGGGGTCAATCATCTTCTCCTTTCTGTTCCCCTTTGCATATATCTACTACCTTTCACAGTCTGGCCTTCTCTCTTTTAGGAAACACATGGACATATAGCCCCAGCTCTGAAATGACCTCCAAAAACCCAAGATTGAGTTGATTCTGCAAATCCTGATAGAGTTCTAATGGCTTCAGCAAAGCCACCGATGGGCTCTTTTGGGTCAGACATACACCGGGTTCAATCATTTTTGCCCACAAGATTGTGTTGCTTAAACACGGCTGCTGTCCTCACTCCTATGGATGCGGAAAGTGTTTCCTAGCAAGGAACTGGGCAAGAACCCCAAAAGGTATCTGCTACAAAAAGCAACGACAGAAAACTAAACTTGTGATTTTTTTCCGTATCAAAATAAAAAGCACCAAAGACTATTCTCTTTTTTATCATTTGTTACTAATGGAATATAATTATGTCATTAAAATACTGACAATAAGAGAAACTAGCAACAAGCTTTTGCTGATGAATCCCCCATAATAATTATCATTGGAAAATGTCTGACTGGTAAGTAAAAGGGTGGAGAGAGAAACATGAACAGAATGCCATGTATCTTTCCCCAGTTCATTGTCAAGACATTGAATAGTTCTAGTTTTAGAATACCTTCTCGTAGAGCATTACCTATTATAAGCTTATGTGCCCTTGATCTTTATTTGCTGTTTTTGTTCTATTTAGGTCATTGTTTTATATTTCTTCTGAAATCACTAACAACGATGCCCTTAAAGGCAATGCATTACATAACATTTTACACACAATATATTTTTAATTAAAAAGAAAATCATAGAAATATTTAGATTGCTTAGACAATGAACATTTAAAATTTCTTTATTCCTTTACATAAACTTTAATATATATGTATACTTGAGTTGATATCAGACTTCTATAGTATCTTTACAAACATTCTAAAGCAATGGTTCCTGAACTTTAGTTTTGAGAATCCCTTGGAGGGCTTATTAAAAGACACAGTGCTGGACTCCATTCTCAGAATTTAAGATTCAGTAGATCCTGGGGTAGGGCCTGAGAACTGGCATTTCTAAGAAGTTGCCAGGTGATGCTGATGCTGCTGAGCCAGGGACAACACTTTGAGAACCACTGGTCTAAATAAGGTAGGAAGGATCCTCAGATCTAGTCTCCCATTTTAGGGTCTCACCAAGATTCACAAGGAAAGTGGTATGTTGAGGTAGAGAAGAATTGTAGAAGAGGTTGTTTTGTTTATTTTGTATAGTCCTCACAGAAAATGATTATTACTGTTCTTAGAAAATTCATGGCTTAAGTAGGTAATCTCTAAATTTTAAAAAATAATCCTGGCTCTCAAGAAGCTTTTAAAGAGACTTTCACAAACAAGGATAAATATAAGCATCAACTCTTGCTACCTTCAGCTGAACACAATAAGCATTAAGAGAATCGATTTAAATAGATGCCTTTTAAAAGAAAAGTAAAGAAGTAACAGAAATTTATTTTTAAAAGTATATAAAAGTAGAAATATATGATACTGCCCAATCATGTATTTATAATTTATGGGAATAGCATTTAGCAATGTTAGGAATATGTGAGGAATTTTACTTTTTTAAGATACAGATTGTGCTCAATAAGAATACCTGTTTATCTAAGATACAAATAACAAAAATAGTTTTTATTTATTTAAATCCACATTTTCTAAACAATAGATATAATTGTTAAGGGCACTGAATATGCTATCAGGCAACCTATGTATATATCCTGTTTCTGTGGACTTAAGCAATTGCTTACTAGCTCCATGCCTCCATTTCCTCATCTGTAAGATGGAATAATATAACCTAACCTCATATCATTGTAATGATTAAATGAGGCAATGCAAGTGCAATAGCACAGTGTCTAATACATAGTAAGTACTCAATAAATGTAAGCCGTTATCATAGAACATCAATTTTTTTATGATTTTAAATGATTAGGGCCAAGAAGGATTCTATGGCAAAGTTTAAGGAATGCTAGATTAAAAAGAATAAAGAATTTTATTTACTAAAGAACTTCCCAAGACAGTACCATGTGTGTCTCCAGTATTTCCCAAACTCATTTGACCATAGCACCCATTTTAAGAAGCATCAAGGTATCCTAGTGAATGTATTTTGGAATACAACTTTAAGAAATATGGATATTTTTACAAGATCATATAACACCTTTTCTCAAAAACCACTTCAGTGCTACCTACTATACAAATATTTTTCTGTTGCTCACAGCCCAAAGTAATCTCTTTATATGCTAATGTCAATTAATCTCATCTAAGTTTAAAGCATTCATTCATCATTGTATTTATGTAATGCCTATTATGTAAGTTCCATAGGAGCTGTGCCTATTTTTGTTCAATACCTACAATGCCCACAATAGTGTGTGGCACATAGTAAAGTCTTAATACATGTACATTGAATTAATTTTTCATGCATTCAATATAGATCCAAGGGAGGAAAGAGTAAATAACTTGGCTTCATGTTTATGTTCACAGAGATCCACTGGTAGAAGGGAAAAAACATGACTACTCTGTGGAAATAAAATATTTTTACATTTAAGAAAAATACACATTATCCTTTAAGTTTTCTACAACTTGTATATAACTTTCACAGCTGGGCTTCCTTTGACAGTAGCAAATGATGGTAGAAGAAGAAGAATGACAATACCTGATCCCAGGAAACTGGACCATCATCTAACTCTTGGTTCATGGATACAGATAGATTAGGGTAACTCCAATCATTAATTGTTATATTGGGGTTTTTTTTCCTTTGAAGTTGATGGACTTTATCTTTTCTGATACAGGTACCTTGGGTCCAGAGGGTGTTGAGGAGTTGGTCTAGTTCTAGAAATTTCATACAAAGTCTGGTGTCACATAGAATAAAGACAGGTCAATTTCCAAATAATCACAATTTCACATGGCCACGGCGTAGATATTTTATTAAGTTTGATTCTAATGAAAAAAATATTTTATTCTGAACAGTAATAAATAACATTGATACTTCACAAGACCTTGGCTAAGCTTTGGGGCTGAACCAATCTTATGAGGATGTTCCCACCATATATATCTCCTGGGGAAGATGAAATAAGCAGTTCCACCAATGGAATGCCTTCCATTGGGCCAACTAATTCTTTCTTTAGGTGTTCCCTCTGAAAATGTAAACAAAAGATGAAACTGGCCTAATCCTTAGAAATTTTATTCCCCTGAAACACTACATCTCTTTAGTAGATTAAAAGCTTTAATGTACTTAAATGAATCCATTTTTTTTCTCTTAGGTGTTTATGCAGAAAAGGGAAAGGAAATGAAAAAATGTTGAGACTGTAGAGACACAATAGAACTTCTTTTATAATGCTACTGTGGTATGGTTGTCAGTTCATAGATTACAGTTAAGTTTCCCTTGGTACAGCTGTCGGCTTGTACAAATTCATTGATACAGAGAATTATTACATATAATGGTGAATTTCTTTGAATTTATCCATCTTTTTACTTGTAAATAAAATATCTCTGCTATTTTCCTAAGTGTTACTATCAATGGTGGAAAAAAACCTGCAAACTAATGTTACTACAATATTTTATTTTAAATGACCAGTTATCAACAGAAAATTATGAGTCTTGTAAAGAAATGGGAAAGTGTGACCCGGAGTCAGGGGGGAAAAAGTCAATAAATACATTTGTGAGTGTTCCTAGATATTGAATTTAACAAAGACTCAAAGTATCTATTGTAAGTATGTTCAAAGAACTAAAGGAAATTGTATTTAAAGAATTAAATAAAATTATGACAACGATAAATCAACAAATATCAAATTTCGATAAGGAGATAAAAATTATGTAAAAGTCCAAATGGAAATTCTGGAGTTGGAGAATACAATAATGGAAATAAAAAATTCACTGGAGTAACTCACAGCATATTTGAGATGGTAGAAGAAAGAACCATTGAACATGAAGACAAATTAATAGAAATAATTCACTCTGAAGAACAGAAGAAAAAATTATTTTTTAAAAAAAGAACAAGTCTTAAAGACCTGCGGGACGACCGCAAGTATACTAACATATATATACACACACACACATATGTATATATGTATATATATGTATATGTGTGCATGTGTGTGTGGGTGCATATATATATATATATATATACACACACACACACACACACACAGTGGTACAAGAGAGGAGAAAGAAAAAGAAGTAGAAAAATATTGAAGGAAATAATCACTAAAAACTTTCCAAATCTGATGTAAAACCTTTGTTTACATGTTCAAAAGTAGTATAAATACAAAACAACCCACACATGTTATAGTCAAACTACTGAAAGACAAAAACAATCATAAACCTTGAAAATGGTAACAAACAAACAAAAAATGACCATCCTATATAAGGGAGCATCAGTACAATTAGTAGCTGACTTCCCATCCAATCAATGGAGTTCAGAATGCAGTGGACTCATATTCTAAGTGCTGGAAGAAAAAAACCCTCTCAATCAAGAACTTTATATTCAGCAAAACAATACCTTAAAACTGAAGGTGAAATAAAATCACTCCCAGGTAAACAATTAATGAGTAAAATTAGTGCCTTACAATAAACACTAAATATGAATTAACACTTTTAGGTGAAAAGAAATGACCCAAAATGACAAGTTGAGTCCACAAGAATAAATGAAGAACATTGGAAATGTAAATATATGGGTTAATATAAAAGACTCTAAATTTATTACCTTTTCTCATTCGTTCTCTAAACTCAATGAGAAAACACTACAAGCTTTTCTTTTAAAGTCAGAAACATGATAAGAATTTAGACCATCTCTAGTGCTATTTACCATTATATTGGGATTATTAACTAATGAAATTAAATGAGAAATCAAATAGAGATACAATAATTGAAAATGAAGAGGCAAAATTATATTTATTTTGAGATGATATGATTATATATCTGAAAACCCTAAAAAATGTAAAAATAAATAAAAGATTTAATCATGGGACAGGTTATAAAATTAATCTACAAAAATCAATAACTTTCATATATACAAACAAAAATCAGTTAGAAGATATAATGAAAGAGAGGACTCCATTTAAGGGAGCCAAAGAGAAAGTTAAATGCCTAAGTATAAATGTAGCAGGAAATGTCTAAAACCTATGTGAGGAAAATAATAAAACACTCCACAAAAACACACATGTAGATACATGTAGACATGAACAAATGGAAAGACATACTATATTCTTGGATAAAAAGATGCAACATCTTATAAATGTGATTTCTCCCTAAATTATTCTATAATTTTTCTTCTATCATGAGGTTTTTCTTCCATAGCTTGAAAGTTTAATGATGTTTGTTAGGAAAAACAAACAAGCCAGGAATATCCAAAAGAAGAGCAATGAAGACAGCTAGCTCTACCATACATTAAAATAAGTATAAAGCCACTATAAGTAAAACAGTGTGGTATTGCCACGTGAATAAAGTGGAGCAACAGAACAAAATAGGAAACAGAAAGAGACCCGATTGAATTTATTACTGCATTATATAAAAGTGGCATCTCAAATAAGTGGAGGAAATAATTTTCACTGCATGTACAATAGACGTATAAGGAAAAATGAATAGTCACATAATAAAAATAACCTGCCTCTCTTCCTTACAACATTCACCAGAATTAATCCAAAATGTATCATAAATGAAAACGTATAAGTACTAGAAGAAAACATGGGTGACTTCCTCTATTATCTGGAAATGTGGGAAACTTTCTTAACTATAACAAAATCCAAAAGCAAAAAGAGAAAAGTTTAATTTGTTTATATGAAGATTTAAAAAATATTTGGAGAAACAACTGATTCTATGTCTAGGCAGGAAATGTGCCAGGTAAACTGGGATATCTTATACTGGAACACAAAGAAGTTATAAAATGCCTTTTTAAGGGTTTTGTTAAAAGGACTTAGGAGTGAACTTGAATAAAATCCCACTGATCAAAGAGGGGACCATTTGAGCACCAATTAGGGTAATAATGACAAGAATTAACAGATATAAAATCATAATGATATAAAAAATATTCATTGTTCTCCTTTGAAGGATGTAAGGAAACTATGCTATTATTTTGAACAGTGGTAAATTAAAGAATAAATTTATCCTTACTTTAAGAACCTCAATAAAATGAAATTGTGATGAATGGAACTTTTTCCATTATAGAATTATTATACTAATCAATGAAGAAATGAGAGAATTAAATCACGGTTTTATAAATCCTAAATAATTAATCAATCTAGGCAATGATCATTAACACCTTATAACTTTAAGAAAGACAACTAATGTTATGTACCTTCTGGTGGATAGTACTTACTATGAGACAGTACCTCCAAATAAATACACAACCTAAAATCAATCAAGCCTCTACATATAACAACTAATATACATGAAACACAGAGCATAGAAATATTAAGTGACTAGAAATGCAATCAGCAAAATCCAGACTGGATAAACGACCTCTTTTATTGTAACGAAAAAATTTGCAACAAAATAGAGGTGTGGGTGGTGTTGGAAAGAGGAAGGCATGATTCCTAATAAGAAACTGAAGAGACATATATAAAATTTGCATTTTACAGAACTTATTTAGATCCTGATTCAAAAAGAAACAAACAAACTAAAAGTTTAAATCAGGAAAATGTCTACATTAATGGAAATTTTTATGATATTAAGGAATCATTAGTGTGATATTGATAACAAGGTGTTCTTTAAAAATTCTTTTTTTATAAAGATTCATATAGAAATATTTAAGATTGATTATTTGCTTCAAAATAATCAAGTAATGAGAGAGGGTAGAGACAAATATAAGATTATCCAACTGATAATTTTTGAGGCTAGATACTGTCCACATGGGGGTTCGTTATATTATTGTTTCTACTTTTGTTTATATTTCAGAATCTTTATAATAAAAAAAAATTTTAAACACGTATAACTAGCATACTTCTTTTTTTCCCACCCAAAATGCAATCAGTTGCAGTGGAGCTATAGCTCAAATGCTTCATGGTTCTTGGGATAGGTATCTAATTGCACTGAGATGTAATAGAACTCTGAAGTGGAATTGAATTCTCAAATGCAAAAATGGCTGATTTTGGGGGTGGTGAATAAACAATACAGTATACAATATACAGATGATGCATTATAAAATTGTACATCTAAAACCTATATAGTTTTATTAACCAATGTCATCACAATAATAAATTCAATTTTTAAAAAAAGAAAGAAAAGATATTTGAAAAAATAATAACAGAAAACTTCCCTAATCTGTGAAGAAAATAGACATACAAGTTCAGGAAGCACAGAGAGTCCCAAACAAGATGAATCCAAAGATGCCCACACCAAGACACATCATAATTGAAATGCAAAAGGTTAAAGACAAAGAGAGAATCTTAAAGCAGCAAGAGAAAATTGTTAGGTATTACAAGGGAGTTCCCATAAGACTGGCAGCTGATTTCTCAACAGAAACTTTGCAGGCCAGAAGGGAGTGGCAAGAAATATTCAAAGTGATCAAAAGCAAGAACCTACAACCAAGATTACCCAGAAAAGCTATCATTTAGAATCAATGTACACATATAAGCTTCCCAGACAAGAAAAAGCTAAAGGAGTTCATCACCACCAAACCAGTATTACCCAAAATGTTGAAGTGTCTTCTTTAAGAAGAAGAAAAAAGATTAAAAATATGAACAATAAAATGGCAATAAATACATATGTATCAACAACTGAATCTTAAAAAATAAAGGAACAAACAAAACAGAAACCAACTCATAGATACAGAGAACATTTTGATGGTTGCCAGATGGGAGGAGGATTGGGAGGATGGTTGAAAAAGGTTAAGGGATTAGGGGGAAAAAAAGTTGATTTCTGCCCAAATTTTGAACATCTTTTACAAACAATTATTTATGTTTTTAACCAGGATTCATGATGACTGATATTTAAACAACTGGCCTTGACCTTACAGCGTGGCTTGCCTCTAACTGCATTTTGTATTGTGATCTGATGTCTCTTCCAATTTCTTAGTGTTCATGCCTTCCAGTCGCATAGATTTTTACATTACTTGAAAAGTGGAATCATTGCATGCCTTCCCCTGAAATGGAAAATCTACTGCTAAAATTTCTCAACTTCTAGTTCCCTTATCAAAATTATCCTCAGGATAACATGCCTTTCCCTGGCTTCTTTCCTAGTTATAACAGCTAGGTAACAGTTTAAACTTTCGTCTTAACAGAAAATACAAATAAATTGTAGAAAAACATATCTGTCATTCAATTTGTTGTGCAAACATGTCCAGAGAAAGGTTGACACTGAATTGTATGGCTACCTGCTCTTAATCCCTTCTTTCAGAACTGGGAGCCTTATCCAGATCATGAGGGTATTGCTGGTCCCTTGGTAAATTCCTATCTCCCTTTATGTTGTGACTTCCCAAGGGGAAGTGTGTTGGCAGCAAGACCAGCTATTATGCAACACACCAGGATTCCTTGGTGTGCAAAGTTGGGCATTTTGATGCAGATTAAAAAAATAAGTCATTTCACTTTTAATGTCTTGTCAAGAACAAAGAAATGTGCAAAACAGATATTCTGATTCTATTCTTGGCATCCCATTTCATCTTGGAGCCCCAAATATCTGGCAGTCATGAATGTAGCCAAAATAGATATTTCATATTACTTTTATTTAAAATTAAATGACTTACTTATATGGTTACAAGCAGACTTCTACCAATGCTTTTGCACCATTTGGCCTAGTATTTAATCATACTACACAATATTTTACCACCTCTGGCTTAGCACTATGTACTAAATAGGAAAGTGTTCAGCTAGTACTGTGGTAGACCATTAAAAACCCTCCCTTTGGCTCTACATCCATGACTTCATCATCACTGACATGGACAGAGTCTGTGTTTTTGCTCCAGCATCACATAAATACCATCATAGTATGTTTGCCTTAAGAGGGCCACTGGAGCTATCTAACTACACGCTAAGATAAAATGGTGTATAAAATGTATTTAAACAAATTTAGTCATAGAAAAGCGCCAGTCTTTCTTTTGGCACAATTTATTTAATAGGTGTGACTTGGAGTTAAATTCATGAAAAACATCCTTACCTGATAGGTGAAGAGTATTCGTACTATTCAAGGAACTGAAAATATATTCGGTAAAATAGTCCGGGGAAGGTAAGTTTCTTTGCCCCAGACAAACACCTTGAAGAGACAAAGCAATGATTGTTGCTGCCAACTGAGGAAGTGTATTTTCATCAGCACCATCACTGCTTCGTATTCCAGACCTTTTCTGTAGCATTTTGGTTTCCATACACTGAAAACAGATACAAAGTAAGAAGAACACTTTAATCTCTGAAGTTATTTTGATTGAAAGGTCTCTAGGATTTCCCCAAGGACAAGGAATAGTTCTTCATCTAAAACAGGATTAAATTGTTTGTGGAAATATGGCTACCATTGTTCTCTAGTCGGGGTTATACCTCTATTTATAAAATACTTGTTTATCTAGTGTTTCTTATTACTCCCATAAAGATGTGTCTTCTGCCTACATCCTTTCATTTGGTGGACTGTTTCTCTCCAGCTTCAAGTAGAGTCTGCAGTAATGACTTTCAAATCTATCTTCTCGACCTTGACTTCGCACTGGCTCTGCTGCCTTGTACCATCACAGAGCACATCCCCTTTCACACTTGCCTTTAGTCTCGAGCTCAATGTGTGCTGATCACAAATCAAAGGTAGCATAGTGTCTGTGTTCTTAGAACTACCATAGGTCATTGGACATAGAACTTAGGACCTTTTCCATGTATACAGCAATTTTCCTCATTTAAGATATGAGCACCTGAAGGGCTTGAATTTTACCTTGCATTCCAATAACAGTCCTGTTCATTTACTTAAGAATTTATTGAGTGCCTACCATGCGCCAGACACTATGCTAAGTCTATTACATACACACTGTCCTTTCATTCTCCCAAAACTCTTTTTCACAGATCCCCTGACCAATAATAGGCGGAGTTCCAGTTTGCACTCAGATCTGACTCCACAGCCTATGCTCTTCAATACGTAGAAATAGAATGAAACCCAGGATGATGATGGGACTTTTATATCATCAAAGCAAGTTCCATAGCATAGGACTTGGGACAGGCAGATACAGCTTAAATACTATCTCTGCTATTTCTAACTGGGTAAACTGGGGCAAAATGATTATCCTTGCTAACCTTCCCATTCATTATCTGTAAAAAGGGAAAAGGCATCCAACATTAAGGTTAGGTGAGATAGTGCAAAACAAGATAGTAGTTGCCATTTAGGACACAGTCAGCGAATCTCAGCTACTATTATTGTTGTTCCCAGAGTCTAGGAGTCCACCTGATAGTAGGCTGGAGAAGGTGACAAGACCCAGATCAAGAAAGGCCTTATATTTAATGCTATGAAAAAATTTCCCCTGAAGACTTCAGAGGAACCACTGAAGGATATAAACAAAAAAATAATACAATAAGGTATTTTATAGAAATATTACTCTGGTGGCAAAGTAGTGAATAGATAGACAGTGGTAGAATTTAAGTGCAGGAAGTCTAGCTAAGAAGTTATTGATTAGTCCAAGATATTTCTTGATCTAAGATAGTAGAGCTAGAGATGAAAAAAAAGGAGATGCACTTGAGGAATATTATGAAGGTAGACTAAAGAACTTGGAGAAAATTGGAAGGAGTGCATAGTTAATGACTCATGTCCCTGGTTTTGACAACTATATAATGGTAATTCTATCCGCTATCCCCCAAATTTTTCCTAAATACCCAATATAGGTCTGCTACTTTTCTAGGTATTGGAAATGTAATGGTGACCAAAACCAAAAGCTTTCCCTGCCCTAGAGCTTAATGTTAAGTATTGCTAATAAAATAACAATGTAATCAAATATGACAGCTGTGGCAATAGCTTTGAAGGAGAGGCACATGGTACAAGGAGGGTAAAAACAGACAACTATTTGACCTAGTCGGACAGATCAAGGAAGGCTTCTTTGAGATTGTGACACACAGACAGACCTGAAGGAGTGGGAGAAAGGAACGTTTTAGACAAAAGTGACAGTGTGGACAAAGCTTCTGTGTCAAGAGGGACGATGGCAAACATGACGGGCTGGAAGGAGGGTAGTAGTTAGAGCAGGTAGAGTGAGGTGAACATGCTGAAAGCTGGTCTCTTGGCAGGTAACAGAGTTTGCCCCTTACCCTAAAATCAATAAGAAGCCAAAGGGGGATTTTTAGCAAGGGATGGGAAAGGGGGTTACATAATTGGATTTGTATTTTGATAAGTCCACTCGGGCTACATGGTAGAGAATATAAATATTAGATACAGTCTCAAATTGATAACTACTAGTACAGTTAGAAGGCTATTGCAATGGTCCAGGTAGAAGATGGCAATAATGGTAATGGAGAAAAGCCAACAGGTTAAGGAGATCTTCAGGAAGTAACAGCAATAGGACATGGAGATGGATTAGACATGAAAGGAAAAGAAATTTAGAAAAAGAAATTTCTAATTGAGAAACATATGGAGCAGGTTCATTTATGACTTTAATTTTGGATATGTTAAGTGTGAAGTGCCTTTACAATATCCTTTAAAAAAAAAAGATGCTATGTAGGATACATGGGTCTGGAATCCAGAGGAGAGGATTGGAATGGAGATACACTCTTGTGAATCCTCTCTATGTATGGATGCCCTAGCCTGGAGAAAGCATATGGAATAATGGGAATCTGAGATCAGGCCTTAGGGCAAACTAATGCTTAAAAGCTGCACAGAGAAATTAGAACCTATATGGGTGAAAATATGGACCAGAGAGAGGGAGAGAAAAAGAAAACAAGCATTGTGCAGTGTTACACAAACCAAAGTAGAGACTGTTTCAAGAGCTACATAAGCAACATCAAAAAAGGACAGGTTCAGGGATAAAAATAAGCCTTAGATTTTAACATTGAGTTTCAACTGCCAGGGAGATATCCAAATGGAGATTTCTCCCAGGTTGGTGCATATATGAGTCTATGGCTCAAAAGAAGAATCTGGGCCAACAGCAGAATTGAAAGCAATCAGTATTTAGTTGTGCATGAGTCCACAAGAGCATATCACTCAGCAAGAATATGCAGAGTGAGTAGAGGAAAAACTGAAGGTGGGGCCGTGGAGGACACCAAGATTTAAAGGATGGCAAATCAAGCATATCTTCCAGAAGAACTTGATATTTGACAAGTGAGAAGAAAACCAGGAGATATGGGTTGATGGAAATACAAAAAAAAGAAAACATGAAATATGGGATGATAGAAATCAATGAATGAAAGTGTCATGGATGGTTTCTTTTTTGCTGTGTAGAAGCTTTTTAGTTTGATGTAGTCTCGTTTGTTTATTTTTTCCTTTGTTTCTCTTGCCCTAGGAGATGTATCGGAGAAAATCAGTGAGATGTCTGTGATTTTATTGTCTATGGTTTCTTCTAGGATTTTTATGCTTTCATGATTTATATTTAAGTCTTTTATCCATTTTGAGTTTATTCTTGTGTATGGTATAAGTTGTGGTCTAGTTCCATTTTTGGCATGGGTCTGTCAAAAATGGGGGATATCTGTAATATTGTCAACAATAAAAAATAAAATAAGAAGAAAGAAAGAAAGAAAGAAAGAAAGAAAGAAAGAAAGAAAGAAAGAAAGAAAGAAAGAAAGAAAGAAAGAAAGAAAGAAAGAAAGTTTCATGGAGGCAGGATGGGACAAAAGTGAGAGCAAAAAGCAGAAATAGATTGTTGAGAAACAAAATGTATGGGAATAGCCCTGGCCAGTTTGCCTCAGTGGTTGGAGTGTAAGCCCACAGATTCCAGGTTTGATTCCAGCCAGGGGCACCTCGGTTACAGGCTCCATCCCCAGCCCTGACCAGGGTGTGTACAGGAGGCAACCAATAGATGAGTCTCTCTCACATCAATGTTTCTCTCCTCTCACTCTCTCTCTCTCTCTCTCTCTCTCTCTCTC